AAATGTGTTTTTCTCGGAGTCAGTGAGGAATCGAAAGCATGGAGGTTGTATGATCTGGTTACAAAAACAATCGTGATAAGCAAAGATGTAGGGTTTGATAAAGACAAAAGCTGAGATTGGAATCAAACCGATGTAAAAGATAAAAATACTCGATTGTGGATAAGACGAACATAATACAAAATAGAGGGAGAAGGTGACATGGCTTGTCCTCCGTCAACCGCAAATTTTTCGCCTTCTGGTTTGTCTTCGTCTTTCGCATCTGGTGGTAATTCGACACCGCCAAGCCCAGTCTCTCCTCTGCCCAGGCCAATTTCTTTATCTCCATCAAGATCGATTGAAAGAGAAGTAGTTGCAGGCCCGCATACCAGGAGAACACCGGGTTATTTGGCTGATTATGTCACGGGTGAAGGAGAAGATGAGGAAGAAAGCTTATCGGTCATGCTATTGATGATGATGACAAAAAATGATCCAGTCAAATTGAAGAAGCAGTGAAAGACAAGGTGTGGAGAGAAGCAATGAAAAACGAGATCGAATCGGTCGAGAAAAACAACACATGGGAGCTAACTATCTTACCTGCAGGTTTTACACCAATTGGAGTGAAATGGGTGTATAAAACAAAGCTGAATGAAGATGGTAAATTCGACAAATACAATGTGAGGTTGGTGGCAAAGGTATATGCTCAGTGTTTTGGCATAGACTATACCAAAGTCTTTGCTCTGGTGGCGAGGCTCGATATGATTCAAATTATACTTACGGTTGCAACACAATCAAATTAGGAAACCAAAAGAGAATATGTATGTGCGACCACCAGAGGTATTCATAAAGAAAGGAGAAGAGGAGAAAGTGTACAAGCTGAGGAAGGCATTGTATGGGCTCAAATAAGCTCTGAGAACTTGGTACAGTCGTATTGAAGGATATTTCTTGGAAAAGGAGTTTGGGAGGTGTCCGAGCGAGCATACTCTATTTACCAAGATGAATGGAGATAAAATTCGCATTGTCAGCTTGTATGTTGATGACTTAATATTCACTGGAAATGATAGAGCTATGTGTGATGAGTTTAAGAAGTCGATGATGATAGAATTTGAGATGTCAGATTTGGGAAAAATGAAATATTTTCTTGGGGTATAAGTGAAGCAGGGTGTTAATGGGATTTTTATTTATCAAAAGCGGTATGCTCGTGAAGTTTTAGCAAGGTTTGGCATGGAAGAAAACAATGTTGTTAAAAATCCAATTGTGCTGGGAACGAAGCTCACAAAAGATTAGAATGGTGAGAAGGTGGATGCAACCATGTTCAACAATTGGTTGGGAGTCTTGTGTATCTAACAATGACCATGCCGAATTTAATGTATAGAGTATGTCTCATAATTCGATTCATGGCAAATCCAATGATGTCACATTGGCTTGTTGCGAAGAGGATCTTAAGATACTTAAAAGGTACAATTGAACTTGAAATCTTCTACAGGAGAAGTGAAAGCAGCAGTACGAGACTTATGGCATTAATGGTTAACGACTACGCCGGGGATTTGGATGATCGGAGAAGCACAACAGGCTGTGTGTTTTTGATAGGGTCCGGTGCGATTTCTTGGGCATCGAAAAAGCATCCTGTTGTCGCCCGTTTCCACAACTGAGGTCGAATATATTATCGCTGCCTTTTGTGCTTGTCAATGTGTGTGGATTAGAAGACTTTTAGAGAAGATTGGAGCTGAAGAAGAGTCTACAACCGTCATTCATTGTGACAACAGTTCGACGATTGCTTTGCCCAAACATCCAATCCTTCACAGGAAAAGTAAGCATATCGAAGTAAGATTTCATTATCTCAGAGAGCTGGTGAATGGAGAAACTGTTAAGCTGGACTATTGTGCAACAAAAAACCAAGTTGCGGATATCTTTACGAAGCCGTTGAAGCTGGATCAGTTCGAAAAGCTGAGATCATTACTTGAAATTATTAACTTGTCTGAAGTAAGCTTAATTCAAGAAAGTTAAAGTTAAGAGAGGAAATGTTGGAGTTTGAATTTGTCTTAGACCACCTCCAACGGTGGTTTTTCAGATTGGTTTGCTAGTTTGGCATTGAAATTGTCAACAAAAAAGTTGTTCCAGCTGGTGAACGGTACAAATATAAACAACGATTCTTCATATTTTTTTATTATTAAAATAATCAATTAAAATTGTGGGATCCAATATAAAATTTAGTATGAATAAAATATTAATATACAAAGTAAAATTGTAGGACCTAATATAAATTCTTTAAAATTGCACCATTGGAGTGAAAAATAAAGTGAGTGGCTTCAAAATGATGTGGCTTAATGAGTTCCACAAAGAATCCAAATATGAGTAGCACCATTGAAGATACTCTTAATTGACTAAATCATCTACAATTATGCAGTGAAGTCTGTTTTTTAATTTTTAATTGTAATGGGGTCTCGTTTTTTAGTTTCTAACTTATTTATATTATTTCGCTGTTTTTCCTAACAGACTATATAATGCTATTATATTTGGTTTAATAAAATATCCCTTTCAACTTTATATTTCACAATAATAGATAGAACATATATAGATATAATGATTGATATAATATATTTTTGCGAGGTTTCAAGTCGAAGTAACTTGTGATGTTGTGCTGTGGTTAAACATAATCGACGAAAATTGAAATTAGCATCAAAAGTAGAGCTCTGTTACCGAATCTTCCACAAAACTCATCGACCTGTCAAACTTGAGAGAGAAAGAGAAATCTTCGTATACATGTTTATTTCATTCTAATGTTTTATATGGTTATATAAATAATATAAGTTATGACCAGAATTAATTAAAAAAATACCTATATGTTTTAACATATGTGTACACTAAAAAGAAAAGTAGACAAATGAGAATGAGAGTGTCCGTTTGGACACTAGTGACCATTAAATAATTTAATGCTATACATTTATTGTATTTAAATGTGTCTCCTCTAAAATTCTGTGTGATAAAAATAATAGTCAAGTGATAAAAATAATAGTCAAGTGATAAGTTAGTTGATACTTTATGAATTATGATTGATGAATAATTTATAATTAATGATTGATGTTTGATGATTTATAGCAAATAAGTTAATTGATAAATTAATTGATAAATTTATAGTAAAATTAGCGGTTTAATTAATTGATAAATTAAAATATTATAAAAGTTATTTAATATATAATTCTTTTATTTTAAGTTAAAATAAATTATAAAGGATAATAGTAGATTTTAGATAAAATAATAAAGATAAAAATGAAAGAAAAAAGAATAAGTTATAAACTAAAATATTATTTGAAATAGTGTCTGGAAAATAATCTATAAATTAATAAAATAAAATAATAAATTTATGATAAAAAGACTGTAATCAAATATGTCTTTTATTGTTATATGAATTTATAAATTATAAACTTTAAAAAATATCTTGTCAGAAATCTAATCCTCTCTTTTTTATTATTATTTTTTTAAATAATTCTATTTAAGTAAGGAGGTCTGTTTTTTCCCTCTATCTTAGTCAATTTATATCTCCATATTTTTTTATTTCTTTTAGATTTCGTTGTATTTTTTTATTTATCTGTTTTTATTTGTAGAATATGTATTCCTAATGATCTTTGGTGTTTATGGAAAAGATGAGTATTTTATTTACATATTTTTGAGACACTTTTCTAGGGATGTATCAAAAGCGCTCCAAGAATGCATCCTTCAAAAAGAGATATAGTTAAGTATTCAATTGAACTTTGAAGTCAAATATTAGAAGAATTATTAAAATAGAATAACTTCAAAAAGTTGTCATAGATGTAGATCAACCAAACAATAACGATTAATTTGTAACATTTTTTTACATTTATTTTTATTCAATTGTTTATTTTTCATTTACTTTTTGTATTTGGTATATGTTTGATAAATTTTAACTATGAAAATATTCCATTTGCATTGATAATTTATCTCAAGAATAGAAAAAAAATATTCCTTGCAAATATGATATAGAAATACAATATCTTTATGTTTAATTCAAGTTTTAAAAAATTATTATAAGAAATATTTTATTTTAAAGAATATTATTTTTATATAATTTTTCTATTCTTATTCTAAGACGTAAAATGTAGGAATATAATATTTTTATGAGAATAATTTCAATCAACTGTAACTTTTCATTATCATTTATATTTATTATTATTTTTTATTTTTTATAATTTAAAATTAAACAAATTTTATAATTATTTTTAAGAATTTATATTTTTATCAAACAGTAAGATTGAAATAATATTTCCTAAAATATTATTCCTAGAAATACTATTCTAAAAATATAATATTAAATCATGAAACAAACAAACTCTAAAATTGTAAAATAGAGCCTGCATAATTGTGATGCCCACATGACATGTAAAAAGGGTCAGACCTGATTGTAAGTCATAACACCCTCATAAAGTACATCTTGATTTTAATTTTAGTAATTGTGTTGGAATAATATTGTTTTTAATATGATATACAATAAAACTATATAAAAAATTTGCACATTTAATTTTTTCGTCTATACACATTAAAAAAAGCAGATAAACAGATATGAAAATGTTGGTTTGGACGTTAGGATAAATCTAAAACTATATAAATTAGGCCTTAGACTTTTAACTTTTTAATCATTAATTTAGTCTCATTTAAAAGTTTATGATATATAAAATTATTTGCAATTATATTCTAGTTCTTGATTGTGAAGCATCTGTAATGGTCATTTCTCACACACAATCTCAATTTCTTCCGTAAAAGTGTACATTGTTGACTTTATAAACAAACTATATTACAAAAAAGAAATTAGAATGTCTGTGTAACTATAAATATATTATTATTATAATAAATTTATTATTATTATGATATCTTTCTTTTTCTGTCTAACCAGTGGAACATAACAATCAAAGACAAGAAAATAGAAGAAAGTGTGAGAAATAAAATGCTGTTATTCATGTATTCAACATCTAGTTAACAGTTGAATAATCTAACACAAAACAAGTTTTCTATTGTTGTATCAAAGCTTCATAAACCTGTAGCATATACTCAATCTGTTCAACTGTAAATGGATCACCCATTGATAAGGCATAGATGAATATCACAATAGCCTCATATTCCTCAGGTAACCCTAGCAGTATTGCATCCACGTGTTCTTGCAAGTTCACAGGTCGGTCTGCAACAGCCAGAGAATCTATCAGGATCTTGATTCTGAATAGATATTCCGAGACCGATTCCGTGCTATTTTTGGTGAGATTCTTGGTTTCTGATCGATATTGCCTAGCCTTTGCGCGTACTGGAAGAAATTGAAATTGTGTGAGAATGGATACGGTCAGAGTGGAGAAAAGCCAAGAAAAGAGTTCGTCAAAATCATCGTTAATGGAGTCTGCATTGTCATCGTTAACAGCATCAGCATTCAGAAATCTATCAAGTCTGTGACCTTTGATTACAGGTTCCATGAATTGACGCCGTGTCAAGAAGTTTTCTTGGTTTAGTTTGACAGAAACATAGCTCTTGTAGATAGAAATAGGTGGCGGGGGAAGAAAGGTAAGAAATGAGAAAGTGGTGGATGCTTTAGGATTCTGGAAGGGTTTGCATGGTGATAATATGGACATGGTTTGGAAGTTTGGATTAGCAAAAGAGTGTTTTGATGAAGATGAGAAAATGGGAGAAAGTGAAAGAAAGTTGAGAGTACTCTTCATAGTGTGAAAATTGTAAATTATATAATTGGATAGTACTATTTATAACATAATTCTATTGTAACTGCATGGGACAGTTAATAACAGAATCCAAACTAACTAAACTAGATTCTGTTATAGCTAAGCTAAGCAAAATAATTGTGAACAATACAATACTGGCATTGTAGAGTGAATAATATATTCCAAATATTTTGGTATGTAGCCATCAATAAGATGGACAACGGGCCGGTTCAGACAGGTTCGGATCCAAAAAAAAATCAGTTTTTGCCCATTTTCAAAAAATACTGACAAATTGCCTAAGCAAGGACTCAAACCCCTGTCTCTTAGATTGAGGGGCGTGAATGTTTAGTTACCATTAAGCCACTATTTCTTTTGGTTATATATCTATACTTATTTTCTTGACATATTAATAATAAATTAATAGTATAATGTGTTTAGATTTTATTTTAACATATTAATATAAAATATGTTTAAATTTTATTTTTGTACATATTAATAAGAAAATTTTATTTAAATATGTGATCAAAAAGATGAGTAGGCCTCTAATGTGTATTAATCAGAAAATTGATACTGCTAGAAGCAAGCTTGAGGAGGCTCCAGAGATTTTGAGGCATGATAGAATTCAGACCAAAGAGTGGACAGAGAAGCTTATCAAGTTGCATGAGATGGAGGAGAATATGTTAAGGCAAAGGGCTAAGGTGAAATGGATAAGGTTGGGGGATGGTAACAATGCAGTTTTTCATGCTTCTCTTAAAAGCAAGCTGATGAAAGAGGATGGAATTGCTTTGACAAATCAGAAAAATATCACAGCTGAGGTGTTGAGGTTTTAAGGGCAGTTGATGGGGTCTGCAAATGCCAATCTGAAAGGAGTGGATATAGTGGCCATCAGAAACGGGAAGCATCTCAGTAGAGATCTTAGGATCAGTCTGGTGAAACAAGTGGAAGTTAAAGAAATTGATAATGCTCTGAAAAGTATTGGCAGGGGTTGATGGTTTTGTTTCTAAATTCTTCAAAGCTTCTTGGAGTATTGTAAATGATGATGTTGTTAAGACTATGCTGGATTTCTTCAATCATGGGAGATTTGATAAGAGGTTTAATAGGACACTTGTTACTCTGATTCCCAAGCATGAAATGATGATGTTGTTAAGACTATGCTGGATTTCTTCAATCATGGGAGATTTGATAAGAGGTTTAATAGGACACTTGTTACTCTGATTCCCAAGCATGAAATGATGATGTTGTTAAGACTATGCTGGATTTCTTCAATCATGGGAGATTTGATAAGAGGTTTAATAGGACACTTGTTACTCTGATTCCCAAGCATGAAATGATGATGTTGTTAAGACTATGCTGGATTTCTTCAATCATGGGAGATTTGATAAGAGGTTTAATAGGACACTTGTTACTCTGATTCCCAAGCATGAAATGATGATGTTGTTAAGACTATGCTGGATTTCTTCAATCATGGGAGATTTGATAAGAGGTTTAATAGGACACTTGTTACTCTGATTCCCAAGCATGAAATGATGATGTTGTTAAGACTATGCTGGATTTCTTCAATCATGGGAGATTTGATAAGAGGTTTAATAGGACACTTGTTACTCTGATTCCCAAGCATGAAATGATGATGTTGTTAAGACTATGCTGGATTTCTTCAATCATGGGAGATTTGATAAGAGGTTTAATAGGACACTTGTTACTCTGATTCCCAAGCATGAAATGATGATGTTGTTAAGACTATGCTGGATTTCTTCAATCATGGGAGATTTGATAAGAGGTTTAATAGGACACTTGTTACTCTGATTCCCAAGCATGAAATGATGATGTTGTTAAGACTATGCTGGATTTCTTCAATCATGGGAGATTTGATAAGAGGTTTAATAGGACACTTGTTACTCTGATTCCCAAGCATGATCAGGCCAAAACAATTAGAGAATACAAGCCTATTTCTTGTTGTACTACTGTGCACAAAATAATCTCTAAAGTCATGGCTAATAGGTTAAGTGGTATGCTTCAAAGTATTATCAGTAATAATCAAATAACATTTGTGGCAGGCCATAATATTCATGATAATATATTATTAGCTTATGAGTTGATGAAAGGGTATAGCAGAAAAGGAGGCATGCTTAGATGTATGATCCAAGTTGATATCCATAAAGCTTATGACTCAGTGGATTGGCAAGCATTGGAGAGTATTCTGAATGAAATTGGGTTACCTAGGATATTTGTTAAATGGGTTATGGTTGCTGTTAAAATAGTAAAGTATCAGTTCAAGATTAATGAGAGGTATTCTAAAGAGATGGAAGCTTGATGTGGGCTGAGACAAGGGGATCCCCTTTCTCCCCTCCTTTTTGTAATCATCATGGAGTACCTTCACAGAAAGATGTATGAGCTGAGAAATACCCCTGATTTTAATTTCCATAATAAGTGTGAAAAAATTGGCTTGATTGAGATCAGTTTTGCTGATGATGTTCAGTTGTTCTCAAGAGGTGACATTGTTTCTGTTCAGCTGTTAATGGAAAAATTTAAGGAGTTTTCTGAATCAACTGGCTTATTTGTTAATTTGAACAAGTGTAATATGTACTGTGGTGGGATAGATAAGGAGGCAGTGGAGCGAATTGCCACAATAACAGGTTTTTCCAAAGGCCCTTTGCCTTTTAAATATTTGGGCATTCCTATGTCTAGTAGAAAGTTTACTAATAGTGAATGTGTGGGGTTGGTGGATAAAATCTTGGCTCGACTAAAACACTGGAGTGCCCAGCTTATGAGTTACATGGGAAGAGTTCAAATATTGAGCAGTGTGGTATTCTCTACAACTAATTACTGACCAAAAGGGGTGTTGAAGAGGATTGAAGTTATCACTAGGTCTTTTTTATGGACTGGTAAGAGCATCATATCTAGAAAAGCCCTATTGCTTGGAGTAAGGTTTGTGCTCCAAAAAATGAGGGAGGCCTAATTGTGACTAATTTGCAGATTTGGAATAATGCTTGTTTGTTGAAGGTTTTATGGAATTTGTGCAAGAATGAAGATAGCCTATGGGTTAAATGGCTTCACACATATTATACTAAAGGTGAAAATATTCTGAATATGCCTATTAATGATAATTGTTCATAGGTGTTGAAGGGCATTATGCAGAAAAGAGATCTCACTAATGGGAATCAATATTGGCAAGAGGTGACGGTCTGTGACAAGTTTAAAACTAGGAAAATGTATTATGGCTTGATGACTCATACTGAGAAAGTTCCTTGGAGGAAAGTGTTCTTCCAAAATGAAGCTAGACCTAAGAAAACGTTTATTGTGTGGCTGGTTTTTCAAAACAGGCTTGAAAACGTTTATTGTGTGGCTGGTTTTTCACAACAGGCTTGAAAACGTTTATTGTGTGGCTGGTTTTTCACAACAGGCTTGCAACTAAGGATAAGATGCATAGGTTTGGGTTTGTAAACAATGGCGGTTGTGTGTTTTGCAATAGTACTGAAAGTTTGCATCATGTTCTGTTTGGTGTGACACTATAAAGAGAATTTGGTACAGAATTCTGGAGTGGCTCAATATCAAACATGAACCGAAAGGGTGGCTGCAGGAAAGTGTATGGATTGTGAAATGTGTAAGAAGAAGAGTTGGAGGGTGCAGATTCTTAAGGCTGCTTTTACTGAAACTGTTTATGCATGTTGGATGTATAGAAAAAGGGAAATTTATAATAAAAAGGGTGATAGTAAAGGTATAGTGGATGAGATTATAGAAGTGATAGTAAATAGAGTTTGGATGAAAGTGAAGTATAGAGAGAAAATTACTCAATTATTATTGAACTAGTTTGTATAGTTGGTGTTTTAGCTGGATTTTTTGGGTCGCTTTGTTTGTAATTGTTTTTTTAAAATAAATATATATTTTTATTTTCCAAAAAAAAATTATTTAGGTATTTAAACAAGTTTCGATGGTATTAATAAATTAGTAAATTAATAAAATATGTTTTATAAAAAAAATGTAATTCTTAAAAAATAATGATACATTTTGAAAATTTTTATTTATTAATAACCATGTATTAAAATAATATTTCGCAAATAACCGGGTTTTGGAAAAAATTACACAAATAACCATGTTTCAGATGACTCCCCAAAGGAGGAGCCATCTGAAATGGCGCATGCACCTAACATTTTGCCCTAGGCGCCATCTCACTTGGCGCCTTCCTTGGCTTTTAGCCAAGTGAGATGGCGCATGCTCCTTAAAAGTGAGAGGAGGCGTCATCTCACTTGGCTCCTAGGGCAAAACTAGGGCAAAATGCTGTTTTATAAATAATTCGTCCGTTTCTTCGAAATTTTTCACACTTTCTCGTACTATATTTTTATTTTGTACTCTGTTATTTGCGTCATGACGTCGCCTATGATTTTTAGCAGAGATGGTTACGTTATCTTCTCCGCCACCAAACCTGCGATGAAAATGAAATTCTGGCACATTCACTCCATGGAGCATCTGAAGCGGGAGTTGATGCGATGGCTAGATGGAGACATTGTGGAGGGGGAAAAATTCGAAGGATCCAGCGAAAACGAACAACAACCTCACATGCGACAGGAAGACCTAATGTGTGGTTGGAGGAAGTCAAAACAGACATCGATGTAATGTTGATGATGCATGGGTCAGATGAAATTGTATTAACAGTTGTAATTTTGTAGATGGAATATCGTTAATTATTCTTGTACGCGTTTTATTAATTGTATCAAAATCTGTTAACGGAAAACCCAAATGTTTACAACACAATTATGAAAAGATTTTATGTATTATAATATTTATTTGGTCGAGGCAGACGCCCGATTCAGACAGTTTTTGCGATTGTGTCTGACCTGACGGCATAAACCACACTTTCTTTCCAACCTGTCAAGATCATCCATTTCTGTTGTGATGCGCTTACTTTTGGGACGACCCTTCTTGTTCCTTCGCATTTGGTCATTGTGCCACACTATTTCGCCGTCGTATGCAGGCCAATAATCTGGTTTTGCTACCAAAGGAAAGTT